TGAGTGTCCTCACTTTTACCTTTCCATTCTCTTCCCCCCATACCACTGGAGGGAGTGTCAGCCTGTATGGTTCTTAGTTGCCAGCTGGGCTTCAACCATGACAAAGTTGTATTAGCCAGAGCTATAAAAGGCATCATTTTAACATCACTTTTGATCTAAATTACCTGAAAACTCCTCTGACACATGACAGAGTGTTTCCAATCCAGTTTCATGAAGTTTTGTTTGTAATACAGAAGCTTCTCAAGTTTGTATCATACTATTTTATATTCTTTTTGTAACTAAATGACAGGAACAGGAGAGAAGACTCTCATGTGTGTGTCTTCTCCAAACCAGCACCTGGGGGATCATATACACCTGACTTGTCCTTGAACACTCCCCCAAAGGCTTTTGCCACCAACACAGCCCCGATACTGTGTTACATAGATTCTTGATAAATGAGCAAAAGGAGTTGGTGGGCTCATTTATAATTCCATTTTGGCAAAAAAACTGATGAACAACAACACAGAGTCTGGGGTACTCCTTTGGGAGCCAGTATGACTGCTGTTGTTATGTTCTGACACCTTGCTGCTTCTATTCAGGAAGCAAAAGGAAATGGCCTGCGTTTTTAAACTTTTTATTAAGGGTGGTCATTTTTCATTTCTGTTACTTGCATTTTTATAAACCTTTTCAAACTGTGCTTTGGGATACAGGAAATTCTTTCGGTTTTTTACTCATCCTGAGTAAAGGCTGATTTGAAACAACTGGGTAAAATCACACATTCCATCCTTGCAAGGGTGGCAGTCACAAAAATCAGAACATAGAGGCATTAACTACCATTTAACATAGTTCTCCAAGCTGTCTGTGGCTTTGTGCATGACAGTTTAGCACAGAGATGGGAAAGCAAGCAATGTATTTCAGTGATGACTGATGTCCAGCCAAGCTCTCTAGAAAGGTGGTATAGGTATCAATAACATACAGATCTCAAGAGGGTAATTAAAAATCTTATTTGCCCAGGCATTTTGGAAGGTCCAGCGACCCAAGGGAATGGCCTGAAGCTCTGTCAGGGGAGGTTTAGGTTGGATATTAGAAAAAGGTTCTTCACCTAGAGGGTGGTTGGGCTCTGGAACAGGCTCCCCAGGTAAGTGGTCACAGCACCAAACCTGACAGAGTTCAAAAAGCATTTGTATGATACTCTCCAGCACATGGTGTGACTCTTAGGGATGGTCCTGTGCAGGGTTAGGAGCTGGAGTCAATGATCCTTGTAGATCCCTTCCAACTCAGCATATTCTGTAATTCTGTGATTCTGTGAAATATAGGAGATTACTTCAATGTACCATTTACCATTAATTTGCATCTTTTAAGTGCTACTTATCACTGTGTTTACCCATATTTTTATATGTGACTTTAGACATGCTTACTGTGAGAAGAAATAATCCCCATATGCAACACCTAGATAATCCTTCTAATATGAAAAATCTTTTCCAGTCACTTAAATTTAGCATACATGCAGACCTACCTACTCCAAAAAGAGACTTGTGCCTTGCCTGGATTATTGGTAATTAATACAGTCAGAACATCCCTTCAGGCAATGCACAATAAGCTAAAATTTCATGGTTTGTAAGCTTGTAGTCCCAGTGTAAAACAAATATACAACCAATTTGTATTTAAATGTCCCAGACAGACAGTTTTTGCCTGGCAAGCTGAAGATGTGTTCAGCTGAGGAAGTGGGGAATCAGAACTGAGGAACACATTGATGTGAGAAAAATTCAAAGGAATTGCAGGATGTTCACTTCAAAATGCACTGGGAAATGTTCAATCATCTCCCTGCTCCCTCATCCTCTTTTATAGAGGCATCCCAGTATACTAGTTTTGTGAAAAAATGATAGAAATTCATCACAGTGTATGCAATGTATTTGGGCCTGATATGACAAAAAGTAAACAGAACTTTTCCAGCACTTCCTCAATTTGTGTGAATGTGCAGAATTTACCGCTTGCTTTATTTGCCATCTGGATAGGAAGCTAAACAGGTAATTTTTGTAAACTGGTACCTGAAAAAGCTATCCCTCTCTAAACATTTTTCATAGAAAAGTCCTTCGTAAGTTTATAGTAAAAATTTGCACATGAATTGACACACACTTCATAGCTGATGCTGTGACAAATAGAAGTTGTTGCCAAGATTAAAATGCATGATCAAATGTAAATGCAAACCCCTATTACATTTCCTAAAGAGAGCAAAGCAGTTATTTAAAAGAAAACTTTTGTATACAGCTATAAAATTTAATATTCTGTCTGCACAATTTATATATGTAAATAAGCTAAAAATATGCATTCCTGAGAACTATTTATTCAACTTTAATAGAGTGGAATTTTTATTTGTAAATATGAGTTTAAAAAGATGCAATTGTAAAATCCTATTACTGTATTTTCCCAAATGCTGTAGGTACTAATGCTGTTCACAATTTATTTTTTTTAATTAAAACAATATTCAGTAATCTCTGAGCTCTGATTTTCAAGCACAGTATCAAAACTGTCCTTAAGTCACAAGTCAGCTTTTCCATTACCACAAGCAGATGTGTTGTATAAGCTTCCTACAAAGAAGCCAAATTCCATGTTAAAGGAATTTTTTATTCTTTTTGATTGATAGCCACACTGCTAATAATTGAGATCATGAACCTCATGGTTAGAATCCATATTTCTAGCTCTTATCCACTTGTTTCTACCCCATGGTTACACTTTCAGGAAAAAAACCCACCATATTCTTTATTGTCCTTTATTTTTCTCAGCTAATGGGGTTCTTGTAAATATTGTCTCTTTCCATCAACTGCCAAGTAGGTCTTCTTAGCACCTACTCACTGGTCCTGAAAATTGATTATCAGAATTGTACACATTCTTACAGTATTTTGGCACAGTATTAATATTTTCCTCTCTCTGTTGGCAATTATTTACCTACTTCACCCTCAGAATACAATTCCCTTTTTTCAGCACAAGGCACTGATGGTTCACAGACGTGGTGTGATCAGCTGACGTTCACAGATCTTTATCATTTTCAGTCATTTCCAGAAGATGTGCTCTCCCTAAATCTAACAGTAAAATTCCAGTAGTGTGTGATGTGGCCCAAATAATCTGATTTCTGCATGTGCTAAGAATATAGTGCTTCTGTTGATTTGCATAGGATTATCAGTTTCAAGGGTCAGGCCAAAGGAAATTCAAGCTCACTGTATGTAAAGTATTTCTGATAAGAAGTATAAGTTTACAAGGATATCAGGTTTGCCAGATAAGACTGAACATATGCACTGAATCCAGATGACCTGAGCATCCAAATAATGTAAAGGCAAGTCAGAATCAGAGCTGATTCAAGTCATATGTTGGCAAGGGGATGCAGTTGCTCTATAAAATTTTTAAGGCTCCAAAAGAAGTCCCTTCTCTCTGTTTGCAGCTACATGACCTACAAGAAAAAGGATGCACTACTCTCAGGCAAGTTTTTCCCAGTTTCATGCCATCCCTCCCGGGTTTGTGGCCAGCTGCTATGCTATTCCCATTACATTATGGGTTGCTCTGCAACCAAGTCAGGTTTAACGTATTAGTTCAGTTGTTAATGATATTTGGATGTTATCAGAAACACTCCCTCATGATCACATTGAAGAAAACTGTTGACAAGTTTACCTACCTGGCACAGTAAGACAATGTCACAGTGATGAGATCTCACCCCATTCTAGAAAGGGGTTAAGGGTAAAATACACTTCTACTACCTGCCCTCCCTAATATTACCTCAGAGAAGAGCAGACTTAAAAAACCTTAATTTGCTACTGGAAAGCATTTAGGCACAATATGGTAGGGCTAAAATTAAAAACCTACTTTTGGAGTACCTTTATGTAAAAAGAAGACATCTGAAATGGCTGTTATTTTTTGAAACATTTGAATTCATAAAATGTGAACTGAACGCATATTAGAAATCTATCCACAAGGGCACTGTACAAATTCTTAGTCTCATTTGTATCAATAAAAACATAGCAGCATTTCACCAGGTAGGTCTGTCTCCAGTAAAATATTTTAAACTCCCTTTACACTAGGGAGAAACTTGAAATCTTCGGTTACATGGAAGTACTGTCAGCTGGCATTCTCTTTTAAACAACAAATATGCTCACCTTGATATTCTCAGGAAATTTGCAATTTAATAAACTCTTGATAAGAGACTAGTGTTAGCTAAAGCAGAAGCCATTATTCATTAAAAATAGATACACTTGTATGAAAAAAGAATGTGGCATTCTACCTAAACATAATCAATAACATAAGAATAAAATAATTCAATTTAAAAAAGCGCTAAAGTTAATGATTGGGTAATTTTGAAACAAAGAAACAGAAGATTAAATAAAATTAATAGATGGATCACAGGGACACAATGTAAAACAGTTATCTGAATATTTTTCCTGATGAGCTCAACACTGCAATGGAATTTATTTCATTAAATGCCACTTCAGAGGGACATGACTCCATATGTATGTTATAATGGAGAAGCCACAACCAGCATTGTTCCCAACACAGAGACACATGTGCCTCTTTCCATTCATCTCTCTTTAGGCAGAAAGGAACTAATAAAAATTACAAGACAAATTATCTGTATCTAGGTTTAAAAACAAAGGCTTGGCCACCATTTACATCAGTTTTGCCGGACAATTCATGATGCTGGAGGCCCTACGTGTCACTTCCAGAGAAAAGGAATTCAAGATATGTCCTTCAGCCACCATCACACCTCCACACTGCTCTAATAAGGAAGGAGGTACTACACAGCACAGCAAAGCATAATGTATCCAGGAATTTGTTATAGATCTGCCTGAAAAGATACAGCTGTGGGGCTTCAATTAACTTTTATTTAACTGTTCAATGAAGAGATTCCCTACAGGATTATTCTGCAGAAAGCCTTATTTTGGCAACGTTTATAGCATCACATACTTACAAACCAAAAGTTCTCCAAAGAACCCCTGCCACATTTCAGGTCTTAAAACACAATGTCATGTCCTTACCTGCCCCCATTATGAGCCCTGGTGCAGTGTCCTTCGTGTGGACTGTTCCCGACACATAGGGATTGTCTGCCCACCGGAGATGGAGGTGAAGGTAGCAATCGGGCTTTGGGGGAAAGAAGAAGACAACAGGTTTTACAAATAATGGCTAGCAGTTATGCTCCTACAATAATGAAAGCCCAGAGAGAGAGCAGCTTCAGCAGTGTTTGTCTTCATAGAGAAAAAGAATGGCTGTTTCCCACGGTGCCAAATTCCAGTATGAAATATCAACCATCACTTTCTAACAGGAGTCTCTAGTGATGTCTGTGTAGTGTGCCACTGTCTCAAAAAAAAGATTTCCAAACACGGGGAAGTCAGCGTGAAATTATTGTATAAAAATCCCTTCCGACAGAATAATTGCTTAAAAACACTAACTAACAGCAACAAATATTGCATGTTTGTTGGTCCCGGGTAACTGGTAAAATGATGTTTAAAATCAACTGCTTGGAATGAAAATGACTTTTTTAGTAAAAAGATGGTATGAAAAATAGCTTAATGATTTTCGGACACGTCATCTCTCCTTGCTAAGCAGCTTACTGCTTCTTGCCCTTTGTGCAGTGGCACTCAAACGTCATCTTGTTCACAGCAATTCCAGCCACGAGCTTTACCAGGAGCGGGCTGCCAGCACTGCCTGGGAGCCACTGCCACTGCAATCTTTCCACTCGTCTCAAAATGATCTGGATCAAGCCCTGCAGTCTTGAACCTTGTAGCACACTCCTGAACTCTTCAAATGGGAACCAGGAGCTCCAGCCCTCCACTTCTGCTATGTGGAGAGGAAACAAAGCTCTGGCAGCGGCTGGACCACAAGCATTTATTTTGCCCACCAATGCAGAGCTTTGAGTACCCAGGAGCAGAAAGTTAGTGAGAAAAATACAAGGTTTTCAGTACAGCTTTGCAAATAACAAAACGCTATGGGTAGTTGGGACACCTAAACAAACAAAAATAACACTGTCTTACAAAAAGAAAGGACTTTTTAGTGCAGTTTACTGTGGAATTTATTTTCAAGCAACTGTAAGAAGTTCCCTTTAACATGGAACCAAAGGTTACCTTGATTTATTATGAAAAAAATATGAAAGATGGGAAGAGAAAAATGATTGGTTGACTCTATTTAACTCATTATATGACCCTTATATCCAGACACAAATGACTGTTGTCATGATTATTCTGAACTGTACTGTGTGGCTGACATTTAAGAAAAAATGTCCTCTTTGTGTCAAAGTGACCTAACATATGAAATGCATTGCAACAAATTAGAGCCCTGACTACTCACACTACAAGATGACTGGGCTAATAGCCTGTGAAGCCATAGCTCATGCAATACAAGTAGATTTGCCAACTAGTTTGAGTGGTAAACTCACCATAAAGTGGAACTATTGCACATCCTACCATACAGATAAATCTTGTGCACTTTATAGAGAAGATGGACCAAAAAGAATCACTTACAGGTTTGCAGTTGGTTGGTTTGCCATTCATGTCAATGTCTGGAGGGTTTAGAAAATCCCAGTCGCGGCCCTTGTTGTAGGTTATCAGAGTTGTAACTTTCCCATCAATTTTCTGGTTGGCCAAAAAGACTCCTTTTACACCTCTGACCTGAAGCATACAGGAGAGAAGTTAATATCCAGCACATACACATTTCTTCAACAAGAATTATCCCTGATTAGCTGCTCTTTTGTGGCTCTGAACTGTATCGCAGGTAGTTTCTCCTGGAAACTGAACAGCAGGAGAATGACACCTTAAAAATATAGAAGGAAGGCGAAAAGATAAGAGGAAAGGGAGAAAGAGGGAAGGGGAGGATAAACTGATTTGTATTTTTAAGTCTATTTAAAAAGTATATGCAATTCTCTCTGTGTCAGAAGGATAATCAAATTACACATAGTTAACACATCAAAACACAAAAACTAAAAACTATGCTACCATGGCCTTACTGTTAAAATTACAGCTCTGCATTTTTTTTAAATATGGACATCTCTAAAATGCTATTCTACAAATGATATAAGCAATTTGCACCTTCTGTGATGCACATTATGTAAATAGCACACAAATAGGTTACAACAACAACAAAATACAGTATCATATCCTTTAAAATACATTGAATTAGGAAGCACAATTGTCTTTTGTAGGAAATACAGACAGATCATCTGAGGAAAAAACACTGAGGGCTGAATCAACCTCTGAAGTATCTTAAATGCTTCCACACCCAGCCTGCCTCCACACATTTAGCCTCCCTTCACCTGTTTAACTTCTGGGGGGGAAAAAACCCTATAAAATGAAATTTAAAAAAAAAAAAAAAAAGTTTACAGACTCACTATTTTCTTGAGTTGTTATTTCATATCAAAACAGCCTGTATTAGAAAATTATTACAACTCAAAGTGTCAAAGTTAATAGGGATAATTTTTAGAAGCAACCTGACAGTAATTGCAACTTAATATGTTTAGTTCTAGCCCTAACATTTATGTTATTAACATATTAACATATATTCCACCCAAGGGCATGAGATAAGATCTTGTATTAAAATTGAAGGTTTCCTTAAAAGTGCTCTTATTTCCCTTGTGATTACTTATGAGATCTCTTAAATTTTTGAAAAATTCTGGAAATGTATATCAATTCATCCACCATTTCCAGCACAGTAGAGCTTGCTAATCTTGTTGGGTGTTGACACTTAACAAAACCAAAGCATTCATTACAAATAAATGCACAACACAGCCAGCTCTTTGAATGATCAGGAATTTTTGCCTCTTGATGACGTGATGCATTCTTGAACTTTAATTTTTTATTTGAAATATTTACTGTTCTCCTTTTTTTCCAACTACTAGTTATTAACTCCACTTAACAGAAGTCTGCATTCAGGGAGGAGATAAGGCATCCTTACCATCAGGCTACTCACTATATTGAAACTGACCAAAACCTACGGAGAATAAAAATGTTCTGCTGGTTATTGTAACAGCTTAGAACTTGGAAAAATATTTAATATTTAATATTCTGTGTAGTCATTTTAATACCCTGCTCTCTCATGAGCTCCTTCTTCCTTAAACCCCATGCATGTGTGGTTGGCCTACTTATCCAGGATGATGGAAACTCAGAACCACGTCCAAGTCAAACACACCATAAAAGTCAACTACTTAGCAGTGCAGGTGAAAAAGAAAAGTAACGGAAGAAATGAGGAAGCTGATTTCCCTACTTTAAAAGCATCTTCATCTTGCTGGGGCTTTTTTACATATTCTGCCTCTGGGAAACAACACAGCCATGAAAAGCCTGGCAGTTCAAACATTTACGTGGGAAGGCAGACTTGGGGTAAAATTTCTATGCTTGTCTTTCTTCCAGTGAACACAATATTAAATATTTAAACAATAATTAGGTCAGGGACTGCAGCTGAGGTTTCCCTCTTCATTTGTGGATGGCAAAAACAGTGCAGCATCATGAATATTTTTGTTTCCTCTCTCTTTTTCCCCCTCATTCTTGTTTAATGAATATTTAATCATTCAGTGTAATCATCAAATGGGAGTCAGGCTAAAATTTTTCTCCATTCTCACTCTTATCTCTAATCTATCCAAGCTCTAGGGTAACTTCTGCTCTCTAGAATATGGGACATAAGTGTTTGAATCTATCAAACACTGAAAGGTTATGAAAACAGTTCTAGTGTCTCCATTAACTTCTCTCACTGCTGTTTTAAAAGATAAAAGCTGACCAGCACTTCACAGCAGTTGTACTTTGAATGAAAGGCAAAAACTCTGCTTGAAATAATAAATCGTTTAAGGCATCTATTTTCTGAGCAAGTTCAGAAGTATGATGTTCAGAGTGGTGCATCACCCTAAAACCCAATAACTAATATAAAATTATGGTGTGTAAAAAATGGCAGCTTTAAAACACCTGTTGTAGCATTTTCTATTTCATTTGTCCCGTGTTCTATGCAAACACACATCTGACTCTGTAAATACTGTAAATGTTTTATGTCTGATCTACTTTCTGCATTAGATTGTGATGCCAACGCACCCAATTTCTTCTGTACTTTCTACTCCTTGACTCAGTTCCCTAATCTAAAATTGGGAGATTAGTATCTTCCTATGAAGAAGGGAAAAGATTCATGTTGACAATAAAAAGGTATGTAAAAGAAGACATTTCAACACTGTGCAGTGCTCAGTTACTCTGATAAACAGTCCAGCAAAAGCACCTTTCCACTGATTTTCTTTGGACTTTTAAGTTAACTCTCAGAGCATCTGTTTTCTACAACACCTTGTAAAGCTATTATCTGAGCAACTTTTCTGCTGAGACACATTAGTCGCTGATTGTTACATTTCTGATTTCACAGCCAAACAACACTCTGTACTAGTTGGTAGCAAGAAGAACAGTTCAGATGACCCCACAGTGTTTATTAGCAGCAGTTACTGAAATGCAAAAATTACTGCTATATAATATATGTTTGTGATTAAAATTTAAATATATATGATTTGTTGTTTGGGAAAAAAAGGCATGAAGAATGTCTACTACAACTTGTGTAGCTCTTATCTGTGTGAGGAGTCACAATAAGAACAAATCTAGAAGTATACATTAGTATGCCCATTCTGCAAATTTGTCACTGGTTCACGTTGGCAGCACTAGATATAATTTCAAGGACACGCTCCTTGTATACAGTCACATATTTCAAGGGCATGCTCCTCTTGGTCAGTCAGTTAATACTTAACTTTTTTTTCATTAAGTATTTGGAAATTATTTGGGAATTATTCCCCTTTCACACATGCAACATGAAAAGAAATATGGTGCAAAAAAAGATAAAGCATATAAAAGAAAATTAATACGGAGAGGCAGACACCTATTAAAGATTTTATAGCATGTAAAGTACAAGTAAAAGATGAAGTGGTGTCAGCAGAGGATAACGAAGATGAACAGTGCAAATTTTAAGGAGAATTATACACTGCTAGAAGGAGAAATTATCAACCATTGAGGACAGTCTCTGTTCTGCACTAAAGATTCCTCTTTCCAAGATGGGATACTTGCATTGAACTGCCCAGAAAGAAAGAAAACCCCGATTAGATAAAAAAGAAAAAAAATCACATCCTCAAGGGCTGCAATATGTGTTCTATTTATTAGCCACTTTATATTGGATAAATAAGCCATACATCATGAGTACTTGATTACATTCTAGTAAACAAGATGAACACTAATTATTTATCATACAAGCTATCTGGAAGCTGTGGTCTTTCTTACTGTAAGCAAATAGAAGTGTTCTCCAATACTGCAGCTCTATTTCAAAAACAGCTCAAAAAAATTCATGTGTGGCTCCATTGTGGCTCCTTCAATTACTATTTATCATGTGTAAGTTTTCTTTTTAATTTGTAGCCCTACAAATTGATCCAGCACACACAATAATCTAGGATCACATTATCTAATATGCCTTCAGTAACATTTGGAAATTATGAAATAATCAGTGTAACTGAATTAAGTTAATAACTCTTGCAGACAAAAGGACAGCCAGGGGTAGTATCTCTGTACAACTTCTCTGAAATTGTATGCTACAGGTGATGCAAGGAGCAGAGACTGCACCTGGCTGCCTTTTAGCTTTGCATCGCACAGGAGTGAGCAGGAGTAAAAGGCTGCAAACTAATGCTGTCAATAAATCACCCTGTGGGAATGTGGCTACACAGCATGTGTAGCTTCACTCATTAGGAAGCCTCATTTCTAAAAACGGTAGAGCCTAGAAAATAATCATCAGTAATGAAAAACCTCTTAGTTTTACTACAGACATTTAGAAAGAAAGGGCTAAAGAAAGATGGAGGAGATAAGGAGGAAAAAGCACTATCATTTTCCCTCACCAAGAAGATCTAATTACAGCTATTTAACAGCTCTGTCAGTGTGTGCCTTGTATCCAGAATTACTACAAAGCTTTGCCAAAGAACTTGGCTTATTTTGGGTTTTTTTCTTTGTTTTATTTTGTTTTTATATTAACACCAGGCAGATTAAAGTGTAATGAGGGACAAACTGGGTCAGACCAAAGCTCCACTAGTTTAATATTCTGATAACAGCCAGTCCTATGTGCTACATGAAAGAATAGAACTGGAGCAAAAGTACATCTTATTACATTGAAATAGATGATACTGATATTCCATTCTATCAGCAGAAATGGAGTTGATAACACTCTGTGGTGCTCTTCCAAAACACTATATTCTTTAGTCTTTTATTTTGCCAAGTGCACTGATGTTAAAATACAAGATAAATTTGTTTACAGGAGAGTTTATCTCACATAAAATGCAGTTGGCACAAGACGCTTACTGAAAGCAAGTGGATTTGCTGCCCAATATCTAATTTTTTTGGTTGTTCGCCTTTCAGAGCTGACACAACCCAGCACAAGGCTCACAGGATTACTGTGTAAAACCCTATTGGTTAAAGGATGTCCTGCTCTAAACCAGGCAATGCATCACTGAGTCACCTAAAAGAAAAAAGGTGTGCATAAGCAGCCACATAACTTCTGACTTCAATAATAAATTGTGCTGCTGTCTTCACTTTTCAATATCTTAAAAAAACCCTATTTTGGACTTGCACATCCATGGAATTCCATCCTATGAATGTAGTTCTTAGAGTACACAGCACATCAGTAGGGCAAGAGGGAAACATGTAAGCAGTAATAATCAGCTATCAATAAGAAAAAAATCCTAGACTTTTTACATTAAATATACCTGTGAAAATGAATTATACTCAATACTGAAATTTTAATTAAAAAACCCTTCACACAGACTACACACAATGGAAGAGGTAAAGGTCTACCTCCAGGATATCTATCAGGACATTCTCTTCTGGCTGCTTCGTGCTCCGGACGTTCTCCAGCAGGATAGAGTAGTAAACACCTTGTGGGTCAGACTGGTACAGGTTGTACGTGTCTGTCTGGTACCACTCCTGAACAGCCACAAAAACCTGGTTTTCATCTGTACTTATTATCTGTAAATCCTGTAAGAAAATAAGATACAAAATTTTTCCATCATTTCTATTTTACAAACAATAAGTTGAACAGGAGAAGGGAAACATCTGAAATTTAATAACAGTAATCTCCTAATACAATACTAATTAACATGCTGTATCCCACTGCTCCAAGGTGGTTCTTCAGTGCCTTTTGACTGCAGTGCAAACCATCCTAGTAAAGACCAACATCGTGAATGTGCAAAAGCTGAGATCTGCTTTGACTTTAGTGGGAAACGACTTCTTGAAAAGAAGGAGAAAAAAGGAAAGGAAAGGAAGAAAAGAAGTGAATGACTGAAACAACGCTAACTAAGCTAATCTATCACATAATCCTCAGGTATCTAGAGAAATAAGAACTACATATAATAGTGTAACACCAACAGGATCAGATATAATTTATAACAGTTACACATAGGAAGTAGTGTATACCACGCACACAGCTCATGTGTATAATAGTATGTAACAGTAATTTATCTATGTGTATAGGACCACTTAAATATTCAATATTCTGCATTCATTACCCAAGAATTTCAGGCATGGGTTTTGCAACAGCTTGCTTTCAGTTTTCCCAGCCTTCTTCACTCCAAACATCTCATACAAAAAAATGCACAGCTGGGTAAAAGAATTTAACACTAACATTAAACAGAAGAAATAAATCAGGAAGTAGCAACACTGTACTAAGCTTAGCAAACAGAATAAAAGGATTTGAGTTTGCGAGAGGATATGGCAGCATGAGGGCAGATGTTGGGACTACATAAGAAATAACATCTAGTCACAGAGACTGAAAGCTTGTAAACTCTTTTTGACCTTGGTACTTAATTGGGATACCGTATCCAGTTCTGGTCACCTTATTACAGGAAAAATACTAAGGCACTGAAGTGAATATTAAACAATGCTGCCCAAATGTCAAGGGAATATGAGTTTGGTATGAATGGGCTTAAAAAAAAAAAATAAACCAAGAAAACTATTTTGTAGAACTCTAAGAGACAAATAAACCAAATTCTTAAGAATCCAGTAAGACTGAAGAAAATGTGAGTAACAGCAACACTGAACACTCACCAAAGCGTGGCAGTCACACTTTAGGAAACATGCACGATGTGACTGAGGCACTCAGATTTAAAAAAAGTAAATGAATAGAAGTAAAATAATAGAATGGAAAGATTTTTAATAAGAGCAGAAGATGGTTATTAAACACTAATAATTTAGTTAAATTTAAAGTACTTTTGCATATGTGACAATTCTCAACAAAAGAATTTAAGTGAAGTTTTCTATCAATGACAGCTCAATGCTGTTTTTAAAGAGTTTCATGTTGAGCTATGTATTGAAGTAGATTTTTGTTTAGCATCCCATAAGTAGTTCTCTTTTTTGTTTTATTCAAAAATTACTCAGAAGCAGAAAGTCTGGCAGAATTGCCAGCAAAACACAGCAACT